ACCACAGAGTACTGCTGACCACAGATGAAGGTCTCCAATAAAAAAGGAAACTGTGGTTAGCCCTCCATCACTCAATCCCTTGACGTGTGTGGACTAAGAAATCGTAGACCAGAAATATCATCCAAGCATTTCAATCAGTCACACCCCCGAGTTCTTATCAAAGTGAGATGAAGGTTTCTAGTTGCTTTTGTCAGTGGTCATGAGGGATTTGTGCTAACCCAGGCATACTTCTTCCTGTCATCGAGTAGCCTGAGAAATAAGTTAGCACAGCAAAATAAATTTACCTGTAAGTGACTTGGTACTTTCAGGATTCAATTGTCCCTCCAAGCTGTAACTGAACCCTGGCAGACACTCTTGGGCTTTTTTCTGAGGCAGTATAACTAAGGAAGTAGATTGCCCTATCTTCCTTCTGAGGAGTGGCTGGTGGGTTTGAACCACCAGTCTTCTGGTTAGCAGCTAAATGCCTTAGGCACTATGCCACCAGAGCTCTTTTTATTCTTAGAAGTATTTAAGTCAGTTCCATCTCTTCATGAAGCCTGCCTTTCTTTGGTCCCATCTCATTATCTAGACCTTTCTCACTCCTCACACCCTGCCTCTTGCCACTAGCCAGTCTGGGTTATGTTCAAGTCTTCATAAACTCCAGGACTACCCCCAAAGTCACCAGTAGAACAACTGGCAAAGATGGTAGATAGTGTACCCTGGAGAAAAGAGTAGAAGCTAATTTCTGGAGATTGGACAGTTAGTAGCCTACAGAGTATCTGTTCAATCCACAGACTCTGAAATTCCCAGCTCTACAATACCATCCTCTTGTACGCATCCACAAGACCAGGTCTAGAAGAACATTTCCAAGCTTCTTGCAGAATAGACACACTGCAAAGTTAAGAGACATCATGACACCTGACACCTAAGGAACAGGATTCATTTAATAATATCTTCCCAACAAGAGTTTATCCCTTTCCTAGAATTGTGGGGCAGAAGAGTATCTAGGTTCTGGCTGGTGTCACATTTAAACATAGATATATTAAAATTGTTGAAGTCTATGAAGTATATCGTCTATATCAGATTGCTTGTGTTGGGATTATATTGGTTGTAGATTTTCTTTAAGATCCGATTCTGCTCCTTCCTCATCCTATTCCAACCCATGGCCTTCTAACCTCACTCTAGGACCCTTTCTATGGCCCTGATACGGGACACATATATCAATTTTTTTAAATAATTTTTTCTTTTGACTTTGATTCTTACTATCCTTTCAAAATCAGGCAATATGTTACATTGGAAAGAATCCTGCCAAATGCACAGGGAGACAGCTCAGGGGGCAGGAGTGTATGGAAGGATGGACACTGGGAAGAGGTAACTATGGGGAGGAAGTGGGAGGGGAGCTGTTGCATTGTGGTAAACTGTGGTCAATGACATGAGACAAAGTATATGTGAATTGCTGTCTTCACCCAAATCACAATTAAAAAAAAAAAAAAAAAAAGAAAGAAAGAAGGAATCCTGCCAAAGAAATCAAACACTTAGGTTTTAATATGATCTACCATAACCAGATGTGGATTTTAGGTAACTCACAAAGAGTCTACATTTCAAAACTGTAGAATGGGGCTTGTTGTTCTTGTTGTTAGGTACCTGTTGTTATGAGTCTGTTCCAACTCGTTGTTGTTGTTATGTGCCGTCAAGTCAGACCTGACTCAGAGACCCCTCTTTAGGTTTCTGAGGCAGTATCACTTCGGAAGTAGATTGCCCCATCTTCCTTCTGAGGAGTGGTTGGTGGGTTTGAACCTCCAGCCTTCTGGTTAGCAGTCACGTGCCTTAGGCACTATGCTACCAGAGCTCCACGTTCCAACTCATAGCATCATTTATAACAAAATGAAACACCACCTGATCCTTTGACATCCTCACAATCATTGTCATGTTTGAGCCCATTGTTGCAGCCACCATGTCACTACATCTCCTTAAGGATCTTCCTCTTTCTCACTGACCCTCTACTTCTCTATGCATGATGTCTTCTAGGAACTGATCCTTCCTGACAACATGTCCAAAGTCCATAAGACAAAGTCTTGCCATCTTTGCTTCCAGAGGGTACCTGTACTTCTTCCAAGACAGATTTGTTCCTTTTTCTGGCACTCCATGGTACAGTCAGTATTCTTAGCCAAAACAAAATTCAAATGCAACCTGTTTTTTGTTTTTGTAATTATAAATAAAGGGTAAAGCTTGGGATAATCAATACCAAGGATAATTGAGATATGTCTTAATACACTTTTTGCAAAGCCAATTTAATAGCTTTACTTGGATTTTTGCCTCACTGTATGTACAATCAGGAGCAAACAAAAATGTGTGTGTGTGTGTGTGTGTAGCTCTATTGATTTAGAATTATTACTGAACTCAGGGTCAACACCAGGGAGAAGAGCCAACACAAATTAATGGCTTTGTGGTCCAAAGGGAGCCCAGAGCCCAGCTATGTTGCACAGCAACGCAATTCCCATGTAAGGTCTTTAGCCAAATCAGCCCTTGCTGGGGGACCCAAACTCACACTTAGTGAGCCCTGGCTAGACTATGTCAGGTACACTTGGATAGCATCATTGAATTTAAGGAGAAAGACGTACTTACAATTCTAGATTCTGGAGTATTCTACAAATCAGTGCTAGAACTCAGGTGTCCGTCAGGCCACTGGTGTGTCTCCCAGTCACTTCTTTCCTGGGCCCTCCAGGGGCCCCAGACAATCATGCAGATTAATAAAAGGGATATTACCACCTCCCTCTATGACCTCTAACTAGTCCTGGTCCTACTATTCTCTTTTCATTTTCTTGAATCCACCTAAGATCACAGCCTTAGTTCAGGCACTGGCCAGCACTCAGGGGGAACAGTGCAGTTCCTCTTTGCCTGGGCTCTTCTCTTCCAACCTACTATTGCTGTATGCTGCAAAGTTGATTCCAACTCATAGTGACATATATGACAAAGTAGAACTGCTCCTACAGGATTTCCTATGCTGTAGTCTTTATGGAAGCAGATCACCAGATCTTTTTTCTGGGTAGCCACTGGTGAGTTCACACTGCAGACTTTTCAGTTAGCAGCCAAGTGCTTACAATTGTGCCACCAGAGCTGCTTCTTCTAACCTACTGTTATTATTGTTCTTTGGTGCTTTTGAGTTGGTTCCAGCTCACAGCTACCTCATGTACAACAGAGTGAAACACTGCCCTGTCCTGTGCCATCCTCACAATCATTGTTATGTTTGAGCCCATTGTTGCAGCCACTTTGTCAATCCATCTCATTGAAGGTCTTCCTCTTTTTGGCTGACCCTCTACTTTACCATGATTTTCTTCTCCAGAGACTGATCCCTCCTGGTAATACATCCAAAAGAGATGAGATGAAGTCTGCCATCCTCTCACGTCTAAGAAGCATCCTGTCTGTACTTCTTCCAAGACAGATTTGTTTGTTCATCCATGATATATTTAATATTCTTTGCCAACACCATAATTCACAGATATCAATTCTTCTTTGGTCTTCCAACCAGTAAGTTATAATTCAGATTCTTTCACTCCCATCACCCTCAAGACAGAACCCAAACTCCTTGGGTTCTGAGGCCCCTCATGAGTTGATTTGTGTTTTCAGGCTCATTTTAAACAAGGTCTCCCATATGAGGAACCCCGTATACCAGCCAAACCTAACAATCAGCAATTCCATGGACCTGGCACACATAATCCTGCTTTTGTTCAAGTTTCCCTTCTGCCTGGGTTGCCCTTTCTCCCTACTTCAATGTTCTTTTTGGAGAGCTTCTATGCATCTTTCAACATCAGAAATGATTTATTTCTCTCCATCTTTAGTTGTTCCATTCCTCTCCATAGTTCTCCAACTTCTGCTATAGCACATCCCTTCTGCCTGTGATGCAGCCACCTTGTCCACTCATTAATGATACCCAGTTCCTTCAATAGTGCCTATCACATAGCTGTTGTTGTTAGCTGTTGTTGTGTTGGCCCCCAACTCATAGCAACATCAGGTACGAGAGAACAAAATACTACCCAGTCCTGCACAATCCCTACAACTGGTTGTGGTTTGGACCATTGTGATCTATAAGACTTTCCTTCTGCCATATGTAGTTTGTCAGAACTTTCTTCCTCATTCATCTTAGTAGATATCAATAAATATCTTTGGAATGAGTATATTATATACACAATTTTTACTTGGGAAGAATGAGTACAAATTAGATTATTTTGAGTGTAAGAGTTTTCCAGTGAGTCTTTAAAAAAAAAAAAAAAATGGTGGGCATCCTAATCAGCCACCTCCCACCCCTACAATTATACCAGATCACTATTTGAATGTTTTTACCTTTTCTCTTTCACAGATGTCTCACCATGCCAGGGATGAGTTATGGCCTAACTTTTTCAATGCTATTTTAGCATAAAGACAATGGAGCCACTGTCAATGTTCAAATTCCAGCTTTGCCCACATGTACAACCTTGGGTGAGTAATTCAACTACTTTGTGCCTCATCCATTGGATTGGATAAGGATAATATTGATGATAATATTGTATGGATTTCACATACATATTATCAGTCTCATGGGACCTCTAGGATGATGACTTGACTATACACAAAACACTCAGGATAGTGCCTGGTCACCATCTTAAAACATGTGGGGCCAGGACACATTGACAAATCCAAATAAAAGGAGCATCTATGAGAGACAAGTTGATGGGAAAAGTGTGTGAGACAGAGAAGAGGCATCAGGACATTTGTTTCCAGGAATTCAAAATAACATAATTTATTAATTTTGCACTTAGGTATTTTCAATACAAACACATATATAGAAAATCTGAAAGGTATGTCCATGATTTTATGTTAAATGTTATAAATTTTATTTCAAAATAGTTTAACAAAACTCATCCTGTATTTTAATATTCTACAATAAAATCCATTATATCAAAATTTTCACATTTAGAAAACTGTAAAAGTCATGATTCATGCCAACAATTTTGTGCTTTGCGATTCAGTGGGTAAACATGATCTCATTTGTCAATGAAGAATTTACTCTGTTCCCTTCTGGTTTTTTCAAGGCTTTCAAAAGTGATCATTCCTCTTGGCAGCTGCAACTTACTCTTTTCTGTTTCCAGTATGTTCTCAGCTTCACCTTAAATAAAGTACAAAAATAGCCAAGGTGTCATAGCATTCATCAGAGTTTTGTGAAAAGAACTGGCTGCTGTGTTCCAATGACAATTCTACTACTCTGTGTGGAGGCTTGTGTCCAAAGCTCACAAATATGTCACCAATTTTCCTTGGGAGAATAAGGCAACTCCCAAGGAAACACAATTATGACTTCTGAAGACTTGGAGAAAGACAAATCTAATGTCAGAGATTTTACTGGACCGAAGACAGCACGTTAAAATGTAGGAGACAAAGAACATCAAGATAAGCCTTCCCCCACCCCTGAAACAAAAGTCAGGATGATCAGTATTAGCTGTGTTTGGAGGGTTTTGGGTAGAAAAGCCACATAGAGCCATTCCTATTGCCCCTTAATATTGTAAGTAACATGAGAGAAAATAAAGTTTACTGAGGGAGCTCTGGTAGCATAGTGGCTAAATCACTTGCCTGCTAACCAGACGGCTGGCAGTTCAAACCCACCAGCCACTCCTCGGAAGGAAGGCTGGGCAATC